TAAGGTATAATATAACAATAATTGTTTCTTGACCTCTCTTCGCTTCGTTAGACGAATGCAAGTGTAATTTCAGGCTGGTCGCTTTCTCAATTTCTTTCGCAAGAAGCACGAGATTTTATAACATTTCAGGAGACTTTTGGAATCACTAACTTTTAAGATTATGGAGGGCAGATGCAAGTGGTCACCGAAGACTCTCGGTTAAAAGTTAAGCCTAGAGCATGCATAATAAACTCTGATTATAGGAGAATAACGGCCAGCCTAGTACCATTGTTTATTTACAGGCAATAAACTCCAATCCAGGTGATGTCTCTCTGAGAAATGCATCCCTGTTTTGCACTTGAATCTTGCACCGTAATCGATAATTTTTTCGTGTATCTATAAATATATTTTTTAATTCAGGCAAGACTGTATATAGAAGCATATTTTTGTAACGTCAGATATGCCACAAGTGAAAGCTAAATGATGTTTACGACTTGTAAAGTAATCATAGGAATCTTTACTTTTAGTGATCAAGACCTATACTGACTAAGGTATAGTTATAATCCCAGGTGAAAAAAAAAAAAAAAAAAGCTTAGACGTTAGATCAAATAGTGTCCACAGCGAATTATTTTAGGGACCTTACTCGCACACTAGATAATTTGTTCCCTTGAATAAGAATTTTTTAGGCTCGCTCTTGTACCATGAACAAATTAATCGCGTCGCGGCAAGCAACTACAGGAATGGGCTGACAAATTAGAAAAAAAAAGATAAAGAATCTTAAATCTCGGCCAAAAAATTAGTTACAAGAAAAGAAGGTTTGGTTTAGTTTAAGGTTTTGATATTCAGTCTTATTTAATCCTTGTTTGAAAAAATTGAACAAAATGTGATGTCTCAGACTTCTAAAAAATTAAAAAAGAAACTCATAACCCCTAACGTCTCGATCAAAAAGTAAGATAATGATAATTGCTTGGCAAAATTACTTCTGCAGACATTTAATTAGGATGTTTAAATTCTCTGCCAGGGGTCTCTGTGAGCCCCAAAGTTTTCCGTGTCTGTATTTGCATAAGCTTGAGTTTCATGATGACGCGACAATATATATACCTACCAGAGGATGGATAATCTTCATTGTATAAGTGGTGTAAGGAATCTTTAATGAAGAATTAAAGATATTATAAAACTGTAGAATATTAGGGACAATTTTGTATAAAGTCTTTTAGTTTTAGTCATTCACGGGCTTAGTTTGGACACTATTTAGACTTCTTCCCCAACCCTCACCCCTGTGAATCTTATTTCAAGTAATTGTAAATAAACTGGTGTTTTTGAATTTTCATGTTTGTTAAGGTTACTGGATTCTGGCCAATTTTCATGAAAATCCAACAAATCTACATACCCTGTAAATTCGTTTAAGTAGAGGTAACTTGCGTAAAAACAAACCTCGAGCTTTCGTTCTCTAAAGAAATTCTCAGTTTTCGCCTGTCATTGCGGTCACACCGCCGACCAATGGAACGCGACATCGATTCCCTGCTATGTGTCTAGACGAAAAACTCCTAAATTCGCGGGAAAGGTAATTTCACAAGACGGGGAAAATGAATTTTCGATGGTTTAACGAAGTCCTAATGTTCATCCTCAAAGAACATAAAGAAAAGTGAGTAAAGCAAGGTAAGGAAAAAATAATTTGCCTTCTGTTTTCTCGGCCTGGGCTCTCTCACGACGATTCCTTTTTTGTTGAGGAATCTGATTTATTAACATATTGCGAAATGTTACAGATTGCCCTCCGTTGTGTTGTGCAAGACGCCATTCAAACAAAATATGCAAATAAAAATTCCGGACGAAACCCCGTGGAAAACGTTGACACTGTGCTTGAGGCCTCTCCGGTTATGACACCTTTCACTCTTCGGTAAAGGTTCCCTTTACCCTTTAACTCCCTCGATCTAATTAGCAATTCTCCTCACTCTCTACCATATAAATCTTGTGATATCAGTTCGGAGCACTTTGGTATCGGATCGACTAATGATCCCCCAATTGATATTTTTCTTTATTCTCATCACTTGTCTGCATGATATTGTATTGATGATGTAAGGAGAATTTATGTCTTGGTCACCCATGGGAGTAATGGGTTAAGACATTCTCTCAGCCACATCTCCCTTTTATTTCAAGATTTTGTAATTTTCATGTCCCTTAAAACTAGAATTGACTGCTTTCTTTGACTAAAGAGCGAAAAAACGAAATTCTAATAGTTTTGACCAGATTTTGTTGATAGTAAGCTGAGTATTCGTTTATATGATTTTAGTGGAAGTTACGAGTTGCTAGCCCTGACCCAAAAGAAAAGTAAAAGGAGAATCCTACAAGAGTTAAGATGAGTGGATAGGGCCTTAAGAATAATAAATAAATAGATGGACAATTCTAATTCGAGAGTCAAAATCATTTTTGTGGTTAACCAAAAATATCTGAAACAATGGACCAATGAATGATGTCCACATTTCGTAATCGGCAGCTGCACCCCGTGAGCTGTGAGGACTCTTGTTGACTTACAATTGTTCAGCGATTCTTGTCTTTTGTTAAAAGGGAGATTAAATTTCACTGCGTTTGATATTTCACACAACCTGTACTTCAACAAATATATAACTCTTTTACAACTGCAGTAAGTCAAGGTAGGTGGAATCTGGAGCCTTCCTGCTTTCGATCCCGAGTCGAGTCGCTATTTTGCCGAGATAATAGTCTGAGTTGTTTATAAAAAATGACTCAACTTATCTCTTTAAAGAACGAATATAGTGCAAAATTTGTATAGATTTCTTCCCCGTGAAATCCTCAGAGGATTACCAAAAATGTATCTGAAGAAAAGCACAAATATATGCATTTGCCTGAAATCTCGCTACGAATATTTTGAAAATGATTACTTTCAAAGCGGTTCACCGACACTTCAAGACAGCACAAACATTTTTCCTTTTTTGATTCCTTTATGCAAATTTCTGGTGTTTGTCACTGGTTAAAAAAAGCATCACATTTTTCTTTCGCAACACTCTTAGTAAGCAATTTTCATTTCTACTAGGAATACAAATAATTTATTACCTTATTTTTCGTCCGTTTTGGCTGTTCGTTATCTCATAAGCGATAGTCATTGTTTGTATTCTCAGCGGGACTGTAAATTGTTTTCTTTCTTTTTTATTTTTTACCCAAGCGACGATAAGAGGTGGCAGCAAATTGTAGTCAGAATCATTTCCATAAAAATACCAGCTGACTTACCGCCATCAGCGCTATAATATATGCTCTAATGGATCATGTTCCTAACTCTTTAAGATACAATCTTAGTTCACAGTCTTTATCGTCTTAATTTGCTAGTGGAGGTTCTTATTAACTTGGATTCGACTCTCCTGTTTTCTGCTTCCAATGCGAAGTTTTCCCACCTTCAAGCTCTCTTGTCGCATGATTTATACCGATAGCAGGAATTGGAGGTGAGTATAACGTTGCATTATTTAAAACGTGAAATTTTTTCCAGCAATTTTAAGTTGTATTTTACTCTAACACTGACTAAATACCTTGGAACACAAGACCACGGACAGAATTTCCACATTCGTTCTTGAGTTGTTCGATTTGCGTGCAGAATGTAACAATTTTTCGGTCTTTTTTCCTTTTCAAAAAGGTACGTGTTTCCTCGAAATATTGCATCGTCATCATGGCAATTTATTCATACAATTTCTTTATTGTTTGTAGAAAACAATCCTCATCGAGTTTTTTGAAAAATTGTTTCCAAATTTATTGAGATTTGTCCATTTTATTTGCTCATCTCTCGTGCTTTACGTAGAAATAGCGACTTCCCTACCAGTTAAGTCCTGGTGTGAATGTTTCGCTTCGATTCAACCCTCCCATTGAAGATGGTATTGTTGTGGTAATTTTCAGTACACACTGTAGAGTTGAATTTGCACCTGCCTCCTAGCATAGTAAGCTGCTATCCCCGATTTGCATTCGTTTCATCTTTTTAAACATGAACATTACATTCATATGGGTATTTTTTTTTGCGGCTCATTATTTTTTCACGAGGTTCGACCGTTCGGGTACGGCGGTTTGCACTTTGTCTTGAGATTCTTGGCAAAGGATTTTTGAGACATTGTTTTCTCTCTTTGATATAACAACTGCCATTTAAAATTTCCCCTGGACATGTCTTAATAGCTCGCTGACTTCACTTCTTTCAATCGCTTCAAAACAGTAGAAAAAAATTCGACGGTAAAAAATAAAGTCATTTCCGATTTGCCATTCTCAGGAAACGTTGAAGCAATTTCTGAACTGCAATTTTTCACTAAAAGATGGAACTCTGAATAATTTTTCGACCGGTACGAATCTAATAGATTATAAATATTTCAATTGAAAAGAAAACTTTGTAATAGACTAATTTATGAATTACGTAGTAAGCTGTTTCTTTCCTTCTTGGTCTCAGGCTTGAGGACAAATTAAACTTTGACTATAAATTTCTTCGTCCGCAGAATTCAATATGTTCAGAGTCACGATTGGATTCATCTTAGTTCTGGTTTGCTTCGTTACCTTGCCCGCTATTAGTTATTCAAGTCATAAATCGAAATTAGTCCGTCGGGCCCGTGAGATCAGGCAAGAGCGACAAACGCGTGAACTCCGTCAGGCGCATTCTAACGACACCAAATGCCGATACAAAATGGCTCTTTTGGACGTGCCTCCATATATAATGAACACAGCTAATAACAAGTCAAATAGAGGGATTCTGTACGATACGCTCAAGTACGCTGTAAATCACGCTTGTTTTAAAGAAGAAACGTACACGGAATCTCATCTGAAATGCTTCCAGGATCCAATATCTGTAGGTAACTACGACGAGATGATCAAACTGATTAAAGAAAAGCAAGTGGATTTTGCTTTTCCTATTCGGTCCGACATGAAAGCTAAGCTGACGACTGAAACCAATGTCACGCTCATCCGGGCATTTGTCTCATCCGGGTGTTCATTGATAGTGAATACAAAGTTATGCGAGCAGGATTCTCGGAAACAGTTGATGACTTCCATCACGTCACAATGGCCGATATTGGCTTGTATCATACTTTTGTCAGGAATATCTGGGGTTATCATTTGGCTTTTTGTGAGTATCAGTGGCCTAGAAAAACGTATTAATAATGCATAAACATTTTTAAATGCTGACAACTATTGAATAAGCAATTAATTTTTTTAAGTCGAGTCGATAAATTCAATTACTCCAGAGCATAAGAGATGTAAATGATGAATCATCCCTAACCCTAATCTCATATTTGGTCATCTTTATTCATTAACACTCATAGTGCTTAAAATTATAGAAAAAACTGTCAAAATTAGCTTAAATTATCTGAAATCGAAATTTATCGCGAAAGATTTTAATCAGGTGAAAGATAATTGTGCTCCTGAGATATCGAAACGCTATGAGCGAGCTCGTAGCGCGCGTGCAGCGAAGCCCCATACACATAAAAATGGAGGTAATGTTATTTCAAGACTTCGAGGTAGGTCGTTGTAATTTAAGTAATTTGGCTTGTGGACGGACGTGTAATATTCATTTTAATAGCGTGCTTTTGTTTTGAATCCCTTAGGAACATAGAGCAAATGAAACGTACTTTTCACCATCGTTTACAATTGGATCGCCTCAGGGGTTCTGGTGGGCAGTGGTATCACTTACAACAGTAGGGTAAGTTATCGTATTTTTCTTTTGTGTGAAAAAAAAAGCTTTGCGGGTTTGTGAGCAAAAATACAGACGCCACATTTGCCATGTGTTTTTTCGGGCGGGGGAAAGGGAGTTATAATTATTATAGAGCCTTATGAGGGGACCAGGTAAATTCTACCGTGACATAACCAAAATTCTCCAAACCCTACCCCCTCCCTTCAGAGATAAACCTTGACGGCCTTATTAGTTATGATCAATTCCCATGAATCTCACGTTTTAAGTACGGCTTAACTTAATAAAAAGATGCCGCAAGCCATCTAATTCGTTGGAAGTGTATGCTTGCGTTTTGAATCACATATCTTTACTCTCTTAAGTCCTAAGCTACAAGATTGCACAGGTTCAAAAGCGAGGGCTGAAATTCTCAGGAATGGCTATTCACGTTGATTTGTTTCACCCGAAGCTCCACCAGGTCAATGATGAACGTATTTTTTCTGGTTAAAATAGAATTTTTACCAAGTTTTACACTTAATTCTGTCATGAATGTAAAGACTGTCAGGTAGGGTTACGCTTGTACTCACACCAAAGCTGGATCAAGGGTTTTATGACAGGGGATCACAAACTTTGATTCAGAAAGCACAAATTAAATTCTCTTTTTATATTAAAACCTAATAAATACAAGCTTAAAGATATTTCAAGCTAAGTAAATTTCAGTTACCAAAAGTTCGTAGTTCCTGACGTTGCAGGAATTCTGATTATAAAAATATCCAGGTCCAGATCCCTGGATCCTCATTCTGTATACACCCCTGTGCACTAATTTTTGTCCCCCTTTTTCAGGTATGGTGACAAAATACCAGCGTCGATTCCTGGACGGTTATTTAGCATAATTTGGATCCTTGTTGGAGCGATATT